CGTCTTGCCTGGGAGAGGCAGTGTGTGTGTGTGTTCATGCTGCATAGCTATCATCCTCATAAAGCATTACAATTCCTCTTGGTGCATTGAGCTCGAACAGATTACCAGAGAAATTATTACCATTAAATTATAAGAAGACCACATGAGTCCAACTAAACAGCCCTTAAATCCTCATATATATTGCAAGCTAATGCATTACAGGGCTAACGGGAAAACATTGGGCGTGTTCGAGCGCATCCCTTTTGTCAAGTCGGTGACTATCGCTGCTCACTGCCTTTCAAAGTGTGTTGTTTTCTGGGGGTAAAAATTGTGAGACCTGCACCTACATTTCAACTGCATGAACTTTACAAAACATGAACTTTACAAAACATGAACTTTACAAAACATGAACTTTGCTCTTCACCAACTTAATCCTGTAGCCATCGCCTTGAGGGAGGCTCAACCAATCATTAGGGTGTTTTTATTTGACTCACACGAATGTGACCAAAGACTTGACGAAAAAAAAAAACACTTGCCGTGATTTATGTGTACAGTGGATATATACAAATATGTGTACAGATGCACCTCCTCCGACTTCACTCCACCACTTTCGTCTACAGTTGGTTGCTTTAGCCCTACCACTCACACGCGGCCATTAACATGAGCTTTTAGCGGTTAGCAGAAGCTAACAAGAATACATTAACATTAGCGGAAGCTAACAGTTTTAAGCCTAGGTTGTCATTTACATTTACGTCATTTAGCAGACGCTCTTATCCAGAGCGCCTTACATGAGCAATTAGGATTAAGAGACTTGCTCAAGGGCACATCGACAGATTTTCACCTAGTCGGCTCGGGGATTAGAACCAGCGACCTTTCGGTTACTGGCACAACGCTCTTAACCACTAAGCTACCTGCCGCCCGTATGGTATGGTCAGTGTAAGTGACCCCTCATTACCTAGTTAAATACCACAATCTTTGTGTCTGTGTTCCGACAGTGTGTGTGATGTGTGTGTGACGGTGTGTGTGTGTAATCTCCTCTCACAGGCCACAGTGTCGCAGCTGCATGGTCATCTCTCCCTAGGCCACCCTGGTGAGTTTGTGTCTGTCTGTCTGTCTGTCTGGGATCCAATCTGCTGGAGCTACCAGACGCCAACAGTTGCCATGGCAATGAGCCGAAAGGAGCACGGAAGGGGGAAGGAGGAAGATGGGGAGAGGGAGAAAAGGAAAGAAAGACAGAGGGGAGGCAGAGAGAAAGGTAAGGGGAATAGAGCAGAGAAGGGAGGGAAAGGAGAGGGGACTATAGAGAGAAAGGGAGTTGGTACAGAATGGGAGAAATAGAGAGAGAAAGGGAGTAGGTACAGAATGGGCGAAATAGAGAGAGAAAGGATGTTGGTACAGAATGGGAGAAATAGAGAGAGAAAGGGAGTTGGTACAGAATGGGAGAAATAGAGAGAGAAAGGGAGTTGGTACAGCTACATATGTTATGTCGATATGTTGCCAAGCAACACCCAACACTAACGAAGCTGGGGTAGATAACCGGTTGATAACACAACTGGGGGAACAGTGTGTGTGTGTGGACTGAATGGGTACCTTCATATAGAGGAACAATGAATGGACGCCTGCTGAGATAAACCCCTATAGGAGAGATAAGGAGAGAGACCTGACAGGGTCTATCCACAGGGTTACATCTGAGAGACTGGGCCTCACAGGAGTACATGAACTCTTCTATACACACACACACAAAGAACTTCACACTCCATCACACAATAATGAACTCACGACCAGATCAGAGTGGTGTTTAAACATTTTTTTTAATCAACATTTTTCCAAAGCAGGAATGTACTTGTTTTCCCCTCTCTGTAGGGGTGTGTTGGAGTATAGGAGGAGAGGAGGAGGTCGAGTGGGGTCATAGTGATGGGGGGATGGGGGAAGGAGAGGAGGAAAGGAGGGAGGGAGGGAGGGAGGGGAGGGAGGGAGGGAGGGAGGGAGGGAGGAGGACACAAAACCCATCTCACACATTAGTGTACCAATACAGTCTCAACACGTCACGTACAAGAGCCAACCCGCTCTCTCTCGCCTCGACTCGCTGGCTATTGGCACAAAGAAACACACACAAACACACAGACACCACACACACCGAGAGAGGGGTGAGGGAGAAGGAGGTGTGCGTTTTTTACAAAACAGGAAACCTCTCTTTTCAAAATGAGGATCTAGCTAGCGTCCATGAGGAAAAGCACATTGAGAACAGTCAAAAGCAAACAGTGAAAGAGAGAAAGATAACCTTCTTGAAAAACATTGACCGACATGAAAACAAAAAAAGCTAGAGCTTTGAGTCCAGGAGGGAGATTCTTCCCAGAGAGATAGAGAAGAAAGGGGGATGGAGAGGGAGAAGAGAGAGACATAACCCACTGGGCACACAGTGGTTGAATCAATGTTGTTCCCACGTCATTTCAATGAAATTACGTTGAACCAACGTGGCATAGACGTTGAATTGATACCTGTGCCCAGTGAAGGAGCCATTTTGCAAAGGAGCATCTTCAGAGTAGCAACTCCACAAGTTCCAGAAAGAAAATCCAAGTGTTTATTTCTGTGGCAGCGGCCATCTTGGTCAAATAATGTAATTTGAGTGTTGGAGGATTCCAGAATTCAGACACCAGAATAGAGTTTGTAGTTTGGCTTTGAGGGTGTTTTTGAAGGTATATTCCTGTTGGTTGTTTATTTGTACTGTAGACAAGACAGACACACATACACACATCCCAAGATGATGGTAGAGCACACACAGATTGGGGTGAAACTTTCACCATATTTTGTCAACTTCTCTTAACACTTTCTAAGTTCAAAAAGTATAATGTGAACAGACACCACAGCATACAAATGATAGAGAGCAGGTGTAGTGGTAACACATTTAACAGCAATATTCCAAATGTAGCTTCTCATAACAGGTGTGCACATGAATAACACACACTTTGAGTGAAGCTTTTGGAACAAACACACCCCTGTTGAGCATGAAGAATATTTCAAAGTATGGCACAGTATCTATTGTCTATTTTGTGTGAGTATGTATGTATTCGCAGGTCGTTGTGGCTGTGTTGTTCTAACACTTGTCTCAACAATACAGCGGCTAGCCTATACAACATCACTTAACACACGGCACTTGAAAAAAGCTTTGTTTTAGAAAAAGGATGTGAAAATGGGTATCATTAGACAGGCTTATAGTGAGACTGACAGGAACTGTGTTTCAGGAGAAAAAAAACATACACATGCACGCAAACACACACACACACACACACACACACACACACCGGGAGCACAAAACCTCTTTTCATCCTTCCGTCACACACAGAGGTTGACTTAATCATGGGGAGAAAGCCAGGACTGTGTCAAAAATAGGGAGCCACATGAGAGCAGTCAGTGTGTGTGGGTGTGTGTGTGTGTGTGTGTGTGTGTGTGTGTTGTGTGTGTGTGTGTGTGTGAAGCAGAGAGAGAGATGTAAAGAAAGCCAGACAGAGAGAGTGTGTGTGGTGTCGAATGCAATCAGTATGTATTTGTCCTCAGTATGTGTGTGTGTAAAATCAGCGTATACTTTTGTATGTGTGTGTGTGTGTGTGTGTGTGTGTGTGTGTGTGTGTGTGTGTGTGTGTATGTGTTTGACAGTGAAAGAGAATGTGAGAGGGATCAGTGTGTCTGCAGAGAGTGTGTGTCTGTCATTATAATCAGCTTAAAGAGTGTGCCTGAAATGTAAAGCTGTTGAGAGGTAAAAGGGCCGTGTGTCTGTCTATCTGTCAGTGTGTGTGCGTGTGTGTGTGTGTGTGTGTGTGTGGTAGATTAAATCTCTCCTCCTTATTCCACAGTGAGGTTGTCCCCCTGAAATCCATTTCAGCTGCGTGTCCGTTCCTCTCCTACCTCCCCCTAGGGTTCATCACTCCTTCTCAGCACTCCATTAAAGGAAAGACTCCTCTCCTCCGCCACAGTCACTGCTTTGCTCTCTCTATCCTTCCCAGGGATCCTTCTCTCTCATCTCTCAATTCAGCTCCCACCCCCCTCTTCTTCTTCCATCTGTTCTCGCGCTCTTTCTCTTCCTTACTGTGCAATTCCTTCTTCAGTCTTTTCTCTTTCTTTTAACAAAAGTTCTGTATTCAGTCACTCTCTCTTCTCCCTAGACAGCGACTCCGGTTCACCTTCTTTCTTTTCATTTCATTTCATTTGGAACCTTCCCTGTTTATTTTCCCCCTTGCTTTTTCTTGTGTGTTCAAAAACACTTGAAAAAAAACAACGTTTATAGATGGTTTCTACCTCAACAACTTCCACAAACGAGGTCTAAACTTCAAAACTACAGCATATTACAAGAACTATAAAAATATACATAGGGTTGGGAGGCCCAGAGTGAGACATGGAGGGAGGAGGCGATGAGAGAGAGAGGGAGAGACCTCAGTTCGCCAGGAAAAGAAAAACAAAGGGATGAAATTAATTTACAACTCAAAGGGGAAGGAAACAGGGTCAGGTTTCTAAAAAATAAACCAGCGGATAAAAAAGATCTAGCAGTAACAGAAGTGGAGTTTTACAAGTAGAGGAATAAAAGTGAAAAACAATAGAAAACAAGACGTCTAAAAATGATTTACTGGATATTCATATATATATAATCTATAAGTGTTGATAGCGATAAAAAAAATCACACTTTTTTCCTATATTCGCTCACTTTTTTGAGTTTTGGTTTTTAAGACAAGTCTAAAGAACAAACGCACACACGCACATTCTCTCGCACGTAGCGTATACACAGAGAAATACAGGCATACACACACACACACACACACACACACACACACACACACACACACACACACACACACTGACACACACAATACAGGCATACACTTACACTAACTGCACACACACCTTTATGTGTGGCAGTGTCATAATTATTATCCTAGTCCCACACACACACACACACACACACACACACACACACACACACAAGCACGCACACACATACGTTATTAAAATATACAAGAATCTGAATGTCACTAAGACGCAATTGGTCTGACCTCTGGCACCTGAGCCTGATCATGTGACCCCAGGCCGGCTTTCTGATTGGGCGAGAGAGTCAGAGGCCCCTGGTCCAATGAGAAACCATACACACACAAACAAACTAACTAACATCAGGGACACAGTCTATCTCAGGGGCCAGTCAGGGGCCAGTCTCGATAGGTCTGCTATAGGACAGGAGCACTGGAGATACAGACAGAGTTCTCTGGTTGGTTGGTAGTTGGTTTGTAGGTTTTCTAGGGTCCGAGTCCCATAAGGCCATGTTGTGGCGTCACTAGTGTGTGTTCTCTCCCACTAGCTTGGTGTGTGTTCTCTCACACTTGTCCTCATGGCGTATAGGGCGGGACTCTTCTCTTCAGCTCTGGATGGGGGGTTTCGATTCGCTGTGAGAAAGAAAGGGGAAGGAGTCCAGAGTCTCTTGTCATTGCTGTCCTCTTTAAAGGGGCCGGTGGGGGCCAGTGGTGGGGTTATATAATAAACCTTCCACACTCAGCTTAGTGACACAGTTGAGTGAAGAGTGGTGGGCGTACGGATGGCCTCTTCAGTAAGCTAGACACACACACCTGTGGCTGTGGTTGGGGTTGGATAGGGCTGTATAGTGGCCTAAAGATCTTCGTGGTTTTGGAGTAAGTCAGTGAGGGACTGTTGTAGGTAGGTTGTAGGTGGTACTGTACTGTATAGGACAGGGTATATTGTAGGTAGGTTGTAGGTGGTACTGTACTGTATAGGACAGGGTATATTGTAGGTAGGTTGTAGGTGGTACTGTACTGTATAGGACAGGGTATATTGTAGGTAGGTTGTAGGTGGTACTGTACTGTATAGGACAGGGAAGGGTGGTAGTTGGTAGTACTGTAGGTTGTCATGGTGACTGCCTTCATACTTTGTAGTAGATGTTGGCTGGGCTCTGGGGGGGCATCTCCTGGACGATGTAGACGGGGTGGCCGTAGTCCCCGCTCACCTTCTCGTAGTGAGGGCAGTACGCCGAGTCCGAAGTCCGCAGCGGGATGATGATGTCACTGGGCTCCGAGCCGTTGTTATTCCCGCTCCCGTGTCCGCCACCGTGCCCGCCGCCGTGCCTCTTGGGGCTGGTGAGGGAGGACAGCGATAGGGGCGGGTGGTGGGACTCCGAGTGCTTGGCGTGTCGCCGCCGGTAACACACCACGCAGATCACCGCAGTGACCAGGAGCAGGAAGGCGGAGCCTCCTGCGGCGCCGGCGATGACGGCCACGTTGGAGGGGGGTAGGGGTCCATTCTCGCCACCCGTGCCTCCCGAACCACCACCGTCACTGCTAGGAACCCTGGGATGGGTGGCGTTCCCAGCACCACCTGTAAAATGACACAATAAAACGTTTACTTTAAAAGGATACTTCGTGATTTTGGCAATGAGGCCCTTTATCTACTTACCCAGAGTCATGTGAACTCGTGGATACCATTTTTATGTCTATGCGTGCAGTTTGAAGGAAGGGCCTCATTGCCAAAATCCCGAAATATCCCTTTGTATTTCACTAACCTTTTACATTTCTTATGTTCAGTGTTGGTGGTAGGGATGAATATTTTCCTGAAAATCGGCCAAGTTTCAATGCTGGAAATAATTCATATTTACCAGAGAAACACCGAAAAAATTGGAAGTGCCCATTTAAAGCATTTAAAATCAAGTCACTATGCCAGGGTTCTCCCTTAATAAGAGGGGAGCTGCGCCACCTTGTCGGATTGGCTGAGCCACTATGTAAAGATCTCAGAACAAATGAAGTAATGATAGAGTAACTTTAGAGTAACTTTGATCGCCAATGACATTGTTGTGAATTGCGAACCAGGCCGTTAGTAAATTCAGAGCGTTATCATGTTCCCCAATTAACTCAGCACATTTCAGCAGTAGGCCTAGGCTATCTCAACACAGAAGCGTGCTCAGGACACACCGACTGCACCCTGAGTAGGCTATAACGTTGTCGAATCATACAAACTTTGTAACGGCAGTCAAACAAAAGTCAAATGACCAAACTTGCGAAGCTTGCTAGATAACCTCCAACGAATGATAGAACATCTCATATATTTGGCAAAGTCTAGTTTTAATGATTATACAGATAGCAGATCAGCTCATGAATGAATAAACGGGGAGATGAAGAGAGGAAATTGTTTATTTTGTAACTGTAGACAGACCGACACACATACACACATCCCCAATATGAATGTAGATCACCCACAGATTGGGGTGAAACTTTCACCATATTTTTGTCAACTTTCCTCTTAACATCTTTTTTAAGTTCAAAAAGTATAATGAACAGACACCACAGCATACAAATGAGAGACAGGTGTAGTGCAGTAACACATTTAACACAATATTCCAATGTGCTTCTCATAACAGGTGTGCACATGAATAAACACAACGGCTGGGGTGAGTGAAAGCTTTTTGGAACAAACACACCCCTGTTAGCCTGAGAATATTTCAAAGATGGCACATTTCTATTTCTATTTTGTGTGAGTATTTTTATATTCTGGCAAAGGGTCGTTGTGGCTGTGATTGTTCTAGACACTTGTCTCAACAATACAGCGGCCTATCCCTATACAACATCACTTAACCCAAAACGACTTTGAAAAAAGCTTTGGTTTTATAAAAAGTTGTGAACATGGGTATCATTTAGACAGGCTTATAGTTAGACGGACAAGGAACGTGTTTCAGAGAAAAAAAACATTCACATCAACGCACCACACACACACACACACCCCATCACACACAACCGTGAGCACAAACCTCTTTTCATCCTTCCGTCACACAACAGAGTTGAACTTATCAATGGGGAGAAAGCCAGTAACTATGTGTCAAAATAGGGAGCCACATGAGAGCAGTCAGTGTGTGTGGTGTGTGTGTGTGTGTGTGTGTGTGTGTGTTGTGTTGTGTGTGGTTTGTGACGCAGAGAGAAGAGATGTAAAGCAGCAGACATAGGAGTGTGTGTGGTGTCGATGCATCAGATATGTATTTGTCCCTTCAGTATGTGTGTGTGTAAATCGCGTAACTTTGTATGTGTGTGTGGTGTGTGTTGTGTGTGTGTGTGTGTGTGTGTAGTGGTGTCCTGTGTTTGAAACCGTGCAAGAGAATGTGAGAGGGATCAGTGTGTCTGCAGATAGTGTGTGCTGTCTTATAATCAGCTTAAGAGTGGCCTGAAATGTAAGCTGTTGAGAGGTAAAAGGGCCGTGTGTCTGTCATCTGTCAGTGTGTGTGCGTGTGTGTGTTGTTGTTTGTGTGTGGTCAGATTAATCTCTCCTCCTTATTCCACAGTGAGGTTTGTACCCCCTGAAATCCATTTCACTGCTGTTCCGTTCCTCTCCTACCTCCCCCTATTGTTCACCATCACTCCTTCTCAGCACTCCATTAAGGAAAAGACTCCTCTCCTCCGCCACAGTCACTGCTTGCTCTTCTCTATCCCTTCCCAGGGATCCTTCTCTTCTCTTCATCTCTCAATTCGCTCCCCCCCCCCTCTTCTCCTTCCATTCTGTTCTCGCGCCTCTTTCTCTTCCTTACTGTGGCACTTCCTCTTCAGGTCTTTTCTCTTGCTTTTAACAAAAGTTCTGAAAAATATTCAGTCACTCTCTCTTCTCCTAACAAGCGACTGCCCGGTCACCCTCTTTCGTTTCATTTTTCATTTTCATTTCATTTGGGAACCTTGCCTGTTTATTTTCCCCCTGGTAAAGCTTTTTTCGTGTGTGGTTCAAAGAACACTTGAAACAACAACGTTTTAGAGATGGTTTCTTTCTAAAACCTCAACACTTCCACAGACAGGTCTAAACTTCAAACTACAGCATCGTATACAGTCGAACATATAAAAATCATAGTTGTGTATTTGGGTAGTCCAATAAAAAGGCGCGGGCAGATTGAAGACTAAAAGGCGGAGGATACAGGGTCATGGGAAATATGATCGTCATCAGGGAGAGGTGGACCTCAAAAGAATAAATCGCACGAGGAAAGAAAAACAACAAAGGTTGGCGTGAAATTAATTTACAACTCAAAGGGGAAGGAAACAGGGTCAGGTTTCTAAAAAATAAACCAGCGGATAAAAAAAGATCTAGCAGTAACAGAAGTGGAGTTTTACAAGTAGAGGAATAAAAGTGAAAAACAATAGAAAACAAGACGTCTAAAATGATTTACTGGATATTCATATATATAATCTATAAGTGTTGATAGCGATAAAAAAAATCACACTTTTTTCCTATATTCGCTCACTTTTTTGAGTTTGGGTTTTTAAGACAAGTCTAAAGAACAAACGCACACACGCACATTCTCTCGCACGTAGCGTATACCACAGAGAAATACAGGCATACACAACACACACACACACACACACACACACACACACACCACACACACACACTGACACACACAATACAGGCATACACTTACACTAACTGCACACACACCTTTATGTGTGGCAGTGTCATAATTATTATCCTAGTCCCACACACACACACACACACACACACACAACACACACACACAAGCACGCACACACATACGTATTAAAATATACAAGAATCTGAATGTCACTAAGACGCAATTGGTCTGACCTCTGGCACCTGAGCCTGATCATGTGACCCCAGGCCGGCTTTCTGATTGGGCGAGAGAGTCAGAGGCCCCTGGTCCAATGAGAAACCATACACACACAAACAAACTAACTAACATCAGGGACACAGTCTATCTCAGGGGCCAGTCAGGGGCCAGTCTCGATAGGTCTGCTATAGGACAGGAGCACTGGAGATACAGACAGAGTTCTCTGGTTGGTTGGTAGTTGGTTTGTAGGTTTTCTAGGGTCCGAGTCCCATAAGGCCATGTTGTGGCGTCACTAGTGTGTGTTCTCTCCCACTAGCTTGGTGTGTGTTCTCTCACACTTGTCCTCATGGCGTATAGGGCGGGACTCTTCTCTCAGCTCTGGATGGGGGGTTTCGATTCGCTGTGAGAAAGAAAGGGGAAGGAGTCCAGAGTCTCTTGTCATTGCTGTCCTCTTTAAAGGGGCCGGTGGGGGCCAGTGGTGGGGTTATATAATAAACCTTCCACACTCAGCTTAGTGACACAGTTGAGTGAAGAGTGGTGGGCGTACGGATGGCCTCTTCAGTAAGCTAGACACACACACCTGTGGCTGTGGTTGGGGTTGGATAGGGCTGTATAGTGGCCTAAAGATCTTCGTGGTTTTGGAGTAAGTCAGTGAGGGACTGTTGTAGGTAGGTTGTAGGTGGTACTGTACTGTATAGGACAGGGTATATTGTAGGTAGGTTGTAGGTGGTACTGTACTGTATAGGACAGGGTATATTTGTAGGTAGGTTGTAGGTGGTACTGTACTGTATAGGACAGGGTATATTGTAGGTAGGTTTGTAGGTGGTACTGTACTGTATAGGACAGGGAAGGGTGGTAGTTGGTAGACTGTAGGTTGTCATGGTGACTGCCTTCATACTTTGTAGTAGATGTTGGCTGGGCTCTGGGGGGGCATCTCCTGGACGATGTAGACGGGGTGGCCGTAGTCCCCCGCTCACCTTCTCGTAGTGAGGGCAGTACGCCGAGTCCGAAGTCCGCAGCGGGATGATGATGTCACTGGGCTCCGAGCCGTTGTTTATTCCCGCTCCCGTGTCCGCCACCGTTGCCCGCCGCCGTGCCTCTTGGGGGCTGGTGAGGGAGGACAGCGATAGGGGCGGGTGGTGGGACTCCGAGTGCTTGGCGTGTCGCCGCCGGTAAACACACCACGCAGATCACCGCAAGTGACCAGGAGCAGGAAGGCGGAGCCTCCTGCGGCGCCGGCGATGACGGCCACGTTGGAGGGGGGGTAGGGGTCCATTCTCGCCACCCGTGCCTCCCGAACCACCACCGTCACTGCTAGGAACCCTGGGATGGGTGGCGTTCCCAGCACCACCTGTAAAATGACACAATAAAACGTTTACTTTAAAAGGATACTTCGTGATTTTGGCAATGAGGCCCTTTATCTACTTACCCAGAGTCATGTGAACTCGTGGATACCATTTTATGTCTATGCGGTGCAGTTTGAAGGAAGGGCCTCATTGCCAAAATCCCCGAAATATCCCTTTGTATTTCACTAACCTTTTACATTTCTTATGTTCAGTGTTGGTGGTAGGGATGAATATTTTCCTGAAAATCGGCCAAGTTTCAATGCTGGAAATAATTCATATTTACCAGAGAAACACCGAAAAAATTGGAAGTGCCCATTTAAAGCATTTAAAATCAAGTCACTATGCCAGGGTTCTCCCTTAATAAGAGGGGAGCTGCGCCACCTTGTCGGATTGGCTGAGCCACTATGTAAAGATCTCAGAACAAATGAAGTAATGATAGAGTAACTTTAGAGTAACTTTGATCGCCAATGACATTGTTGTGAATTGCGAACCAGGCCGTTAGTAAATTCAGAGCGTTATCATGTTCCCCAATTAACTCAGCACATTTCAGCAGTAGGCCTAGGCTATCTCAACACAGAAGCGTGCTCAGGACACACCGACTGCACCCTGAGTAGGCTATAACGTTGTCGAATCATACAAACTTTTGTAACGGCAGTCAAACAAAAGTCAAATGACCAAACTTGCGAAGCTTGCTAGATAACCTCCAACGAATGATAGAACATCTCATATATTTGGCAAAGTCTAGTTAATGATTATACAGATAGCAGATCAGCTCATGAATGAATAACGGGGAGATGAAGAGAGGAAATAGTTTAAATATCAAGGTATCTTAACAGGGACCAACTCTGTTAAAAAAAATATCCATATCTACTATCATACCGTTTGTTGATCACACATTCTCTACCGAAGCTCCCATATGGGCAGCAATACAAGACAGCGCAGAGAAGCGAGGGAAATGTTATAGCGGAGAGACGTGCTTTGATAATGCAACCTATGTCACGGTTCAGACAGACGACCAGAGGACCACAATTGCGTCACACCAGAAAGTTTTATTAAACTTAAGGGAAAAGGGAAGTAGGGAGTGAATGAAGGCTCCAGGGGTAACAGGGGTCCCGTCCAATGCGCTGGGTCTGTGCCCCCCCCCAGTGGCAGCGATGCGTCCTATGAAGCCGGTGGTGGGTGGTCCAGAAGTCCTGGGGGGGGGAGACACAGACACAACAGGGCGGAATGAAACCAGGCAGCAGTACAGTACAAGGGAAATCCAAAATACGTAGTAGCAAGGCAGAAGGCTGGTCAGAGTTACCGGGATTGAAGAGTAGTCAGGAGTCGTAATGGCAGAAGCAGGTCTGGATCTCCTGAGGCAGAAGAGTATCCAAAAAACAGGCAGGTCCGGGGTCACAAAACCAGGGTGAGCCAGAAGCGCGAGCAAACAGGTTCCGGGTGTGAGCTTTGCAGACGATCTGACACCGGAGAGCTGAAAGACAGGGCCTTAAATACTGGGAGAGGTAGTGGGTAATGCAGCGCAGCTGGCAGAGTAATTAGAGCAGAGCAGAGCAGGGACAGGTGGAGCTAGTTAGGCTGAGTAGAGAGAGTGGTGAGCAAGTGGAAAGAAAATTAAGGTGGTAACCCGTGGAGTGAGAGGCCCATGACAGAACCCCCCCCCCAAGGGACGGCCCCAGAAGTCCCAAGAGCAACACCACGCCGGGCGGGAGGAGGGGAGCCGGATGGAGGGCTAGAACTCCTCCGAACGGTCCGAGTGAACGTCCTCATCCTCGGAGGAAGCCGGAGGGCCGTGGTCGGGAGATGGGAACAGGTCCCGAGTACAGGATCAGGCACAGGACAGGAAGCCGAGCGGGCCGGACGGTTTAGGGACCCCTCTGGGGCGGCCCCTACGGATTGCAGGTTGATCAGGATGCCGTTGGTGGAAAGCGGTGATGAGAGTCCTATCCACAATCCGACTAGCTGGCACCCAGGTCCTCTCCTCAGGGTCCATAGCCCTCCCAGTCAATGAGGTACTGGAGACCCCTACCCCTCCGTCTGACCGAAGCAGGCGGGGGGGGGGGACGGTGTAAACCAGACCACCATCGACGAGCCGTGGAGGAGGAGGACCAGGCGCAGCAGGGACCAGCGGACTCTCATGGATGGGCTTTAATCTTAGACACATGGAAAGTGGGGTGCAACCCTCAGGGAATTAGGCAGTTGGAGCCGGACAGCAGTTGGGCTAATCACTCTTATGATAGGGAATGGGCCAATGAACCGAGGTGCCAGCTTCTGCGACTCCACCCTGAGTGGCAGGTTCTTCGATGACAACCACACCCTTTTGACCAACATGGTAGGTGGGAGCAGGAATTCTCCGACGGTTGGCCCCGGTAGTGTAAGCTGGCAACGGATCTGAGGAGTGTGGCTCGGGCTTGTGACCAGGTGCGGCGACATCGACGGGCAAAAGCAAGTGCAGATGGGCAAGTAACCTCCTCTTCCTGGCTGGCAAATAGAGGAGGCTGGTATCCATAAACACATTGGAAAGGGGACATACCGATGGCAGAGCAGGTCAGAGAATTGTGGTGCGTACTCCACCCATGTCAATTGCTGCGACCAGGAGTGGGGGTTGCGTGAAGTCATGCATCGCAGTGCCTTCTCGAGCTCCTGATTAGCCCGCTCTGACTGCCCATTGGATTGGGGATGGAATCCGGAAGTCAGACTGACTGTGGCTCCCAGCAGGTGACAGAACTCCTTCCAAAAAGCGGAGGAGAATTGTGGACCACGGTCAGAAACTACATCCTTTGGCAGTCCGTGGATCCGGAAGACGTGTTCCAGGACCACCTGGGCGGTCTCCTTGGCGGTTGGGAGCTTGGGGAGGGGAATGAAGTGTGCCATCTTGCTGAAACGGTCAACGATGGTGAGAATGACGGTCATGCCACTTGAAGGGGGCAGCCCCGTGACAAAGTCAAGGGCGATGTGAGACCAGGACGTCTGGGCACAGGCAGGGGCTGCAGCAATCCGGCTGGGGGCTGGCAGGACGACTTGTGTTGGTTGCAGATGGGCAGGCTTGGACGAATTCCCGTACATCCTTCCTCAGAGAGGGCCACCAGAACCTCTGGCGAGCAGGTTGTAAGTGCGAGTGGGTGGAGCCAGGGTGACAAGCTAGGCGGAGTCATGTCCCCACTGAACGACCTGGGGACCTCAGGTCTTCGGGGACAAAAAGGCGGTCAGCTGGGCAAGTGCTGGGACCTGGCTGGTTACGGAGAGCCTCCAGCACCTGTTTCCTCAACAGCCCAGGTCAGAGCTGCAACGATGCAGTGACTTTGGCAGAATCGACACAGGGGTCCTTGGAGGGGGTGTCATCCTTCTTGGAATTGACGGGAGAGGGCGTCTGGCTTGGTGTTGCGTGATCCAGGCCGGTATGACAGAGTGAAAATTAACCTTGGTGAAGAACAGGGCCCAGCGGGACTGCCTGGAGTTCACCGTTTGGCCGTGCGGATGTACTCCAAGTTCTTATGATCGGTCCAAACGAGAAATGGAATGGTGGACCCTCGCAGCCAGTGACGCACGCCTCCAGCGGGCAAGCTTCAGCAGCCAAGCAGCCTCGGGGAACACGGTTCCCTATAAGAAATCGTAATAATGCAGGCTCAGAGGGGACCCCACCGACGATGAGACAAAGGGGAATGGCCCAGTTATGTGATGCTAAAAAATCCGTCCAAGCTCCTCATCCCCACTGAGAATCCACCGTCACCACCGATCCCAGCGGTCCGAGTGTTCCACCTGGGTGACCAGAACAATCGACTGACAATGAATTGACCCGTCCACATCAACAATATACATCTGGGATGATTGGAGCAGGTGAACCTACCTGAGGGTACTGAAGGCGTTGTCGGCTGCTGGGGTCCATGAGGATGGTGAAAAAAGGGTTTGAGGCAAACAGTTGGTAAGCTGGGTGTTGAGAGTGAGGGGGCAAGCAACGGTATGTAGTTCACGGATAACTTCCTATAGGAAGTTACAAACTCCCAGAACTAGTTGCAAAAAGGTCTGCTGGCGTAGATAACAACAAAATTTCATATGATATATCCTCCCTGAACGAGGTGCGCGATGAAGTGACTGGGGCTGAAATAACTTTTGGCAATCCATTTGGGGGGAATACTTCCCTCTGCCACTGGGGATGGTACCCGGCAGGAAGGCAACTGTCTTGACGTGAACCACATTGGTCTGCGTTCCTTGGAAAAAAATAAAGGGTAATTCCTCAGAACAGAATCGATGAAGTCAAAACAAATATAGCTGGACATGGGCGGGTGTGTGCAGAAACAGGTTTCCGTGGGGGGGTGCTTGGTAGGGGGGAGAAAAATGAAAATAAAAAAATATGTTCATCCAGGGGGGGAACGAACAACTTGTTTAACATTGTCCGCAGTACTCATGGGTCATAAGCCTAGGAAAATAGGAACAGGGGATCAGCATATGCATTGAGTGAGGGGCCACAGGAGGCATACCATGAGTACGGTCTGATAGTGGGCCTGTGGTGGTGTATTGAATGCAAAGGGTTTCCATTCATCTCCCTCCCGTATCCGCACTAGGTGGTAAGCGTTTCTTAGATCCACCTTGGTAAAAACAGTCTCCCCTGTAGAACTCAAAGCATAGGTGAGCAGGCCGAGGGTAACGGTTTTTCATTCACTGTGATGTCCGTTGAGACATAAAAGGATGTGATAAGATAGAATCAAATTAGAAAAACTAAGAATCCCCTGAGTCGATTCAAGTGTGCGAAAGAAGATCCCTTCCTTACTTCCCTCACAAAGAAGAAGCCCAGCACCCGCAGGGAGAATGCAGATGAACGGATTATCCTGCGGACAGAGAGCCATTGTGTAAATCCTCCATTTGACTTTCTTTCAGGAGCATACAACGAATAAAACGACCCTTTGGAGGAGCTGTTCCAGGGAGGAGGATC